ATATATATGGTTTTGTTAGGTTAGACCACCTGGTAGTGTATACCCTTAAAATCCTCAACATTTTTGGACACTTAGATACTATTATCCTATAGTGTAGTAACTTTTTGTCTAGCGGGATTTTAAGTAATTAGTCAAGGGTAAAGTAGAAATTCCTAATAGAAACAAAAACATTTATTAACAATAGTGGACAATGACATCACCGACATGATGTATGCATCAATCACATAGTGTATGACATCACCTACAAGATGCATTAATTGTCTTTCAACTACTAATAGAATGCTATTATTTTCTTATAGAAATATACGTTCTACCCTTCTAAATGACAAAAAATGCCCTTACTTGAAAAATTTTGTATTATAATTCAAGAGCATTTTAAGTATCTAAAAATATTGCGGACTCTAAGGGTATACACCACCAAGTGATGTAGCCTAACAATATATGTGGGAATCCATTTCAAGCGGGCTGGACCGCATTTCTACAATATACGGTCCAAAGGTATAAAGCAGCATCCATCTTAAAGATGCATGCAAATAGGTGGTCTATCTAGAAAGAAGTGTAACTAACGGTCTAAATATTTTCTTAATATAATTATTATTTCTAGCTTTCAAAAAAAATTATTTCATATTCATGATCTCTATGTTAAAGATTATATATTCTATAAAAATTAGGATCAAATTATATTTAAAAGATATATTTATTACCAAGCCCATGTTTTTACAATATGCGGGCTGGCAGCATAGAAACCGTGTCCCATATATATAGAAAATGGTTTGATAGGGCTACAACTCTATCAAATTAAGTAAAGCCTCACCTCATAACTCATCCAAAATTACAATAGAAAGCATTGAAAAAACCTTTACATTGATCATCTCGACTTGAATATTATGGTTATAAAAAAAATTAGGATTTCAAGCTCTAAAAATAGTGTATATTGTAACAAATTATTTAGATCGTCCATTTCTCTCTAAAAATAAGATATCACAGATCCACAAAATCTATACCATTTTTTTAGTTTCAAATTTTATTGTTGGTGTTGGAAATTGATTTTAGAGCCATCATAGAGATTTTTTTTTACCTAAAGTCTTTTTCTGACGACAATTGAGACTTTATTTTGTTTTCATAGAGCTTAAGCCCTCTCTCTCTCTTTATATATATATATATATATAATGAGATGATCTAGTTTGAGGGTTTTTAGCTTTTCCATATTTATAGAATGCCTTACTAGACATGACTTCTAGTAAGACAATATTATATGAATTTGGGCTGGATTTGTTCAAGTCTAAAACTAGTTTTTTAAGCATATGGTTATATAATTGTGGTTGGCATAACTCAATTTTCAAGCTTGAGCCTAAGGTAAATCTAGCTTGTTAACAGCCTTCTAGCCCAAAATTGGGCCCAACTTAAAAGCTTGAGGTCTTAATAACGCTCGCCTTTAAAAATAGGGTTAGCAATAGACCTAGATGGCCTAGCCTAGCTTAGCCCTAAAAAACTAGGGTTTGGGTCATAAAATGTGCCATGCGAGTTGGGAAAAAGTCAAGCTAGGCCTAGTCTTGGGCCATGATTGGGTCATCTTGTCACAACCTTTTTCTCCTTATGTTTTTCCTTTTAATTTTTGAGTGTATACCCAACCCAGCTTCGGCCTCTTCAGCTAGATCTGGGTTAGCTAGAGCTTGGGCCAACTCTAATAGGATTAGGGCGAGGTTAGAGGCCAAAGATGGCCCTGTCCAATTGAAGTCTATGACCAGCCCTAGTTAGAAAGGCCCAATCACCTCATATCTCTCTCTCTCTCCTAGTCACCATTGTTTTTTTGTTTAAGCATGTGTACTTTGCTCTTATGTGAGCAATGCTGTCAATCTAGTTCCTCTGAAAGAAAATTTACTTTAAGAGAATTATTTATCTAAATTTTATGGCAAAGCATTTTTATGTTCCCCCTACAACATATAAGTTCTATGTTCCCCCTACCATCCAGCCATCCATTTTATAGCCCTTCATTAAAAAATAGACGGTTGGATAAGAAGGAACATAGAACTTCTATGTTGTAGGGGGATATAGAAAGCTTTCCCAAATTTTATTAACCGCCTAAAAAACACTAATGATTATTTTCAAAATAGAAAATTGAATCTACAGTTTTTCACACTTAGATCCCACTTTCAAAAAATCGGATGGTCTTTATTTTATATTGAGATTTTTTTTTTTGAAGTGCATAGAGACTGTGATTTGGAATTTTCCTTTCTTACAACACTTAGATCTCACTTTCAAAAACTTGGATGGTCTTTGTTCAATATTGAAAATCGGATAGCCTTTGTTCAATATTGATTTTTTTTTATTTATTTATTTAAGTGCATACAGACCGTGATTTCGAATTTTCCTTTCTTTTTTTTGAGATTGTTGTGTGGGTTGAAGAGGTTAAATCCCTACATTTTGAGATCCTAAAGTTATTCCTAGATTAGATTTCACCTGAGGGAGTAAATGGATAGTGAATTCCCCAGGGAGTATAAAATCTTTTGGTTTTCTGAAAAAGCGATAACTAGAATTTTCTGAACGTATATAGCACGTTCCTATGGGAACATTACTGTAGAACAACTCCCATGAGCAAATGAGTAACTTATAAGTATTTTTTTATCCAAAGTTTTGGGATGTATCCAAGTATCATCAAATGATTTTTTAAGAGAACAAATTGAATTTTAAGTTCTTGAACACTCAAATATTGTCGTCCAAAATTTGGATTGTTCTTGTCAATCTGGGCACATTATTTTTTCTAAGACACATTGAGAGTCGTATATTTGTAGTTAATTTTTTTCTTCCTTTGAGTTTGGTTATAGGTTCTAGAGGTTACATCCCCAAAACTTAGGTTCCAAAAGTATTTATACATGAGTTTTACCATGAGGGAGCAAATGCACAACATTTTCGTATGGGAGCACAAATATTTTCACTTTATTATATGTCAGTTTTGATTTACTCGTATTCTAAAACTTTCTTAAAGAAGTTGGTAGGCAAGAACTGTCTAAATGACCTTTCAAAACTTTCTATCTCATCTCTACAAATCAGTTAACCCTAAAAACTATAGCCAACAAAATTTGAGCAGTGCTCATTATAATTTTTTACACTCAGAATAGTGTGGGCCTTCCCGCCACTGCCTTCCCCCACTCTACAAAGTCCTTCCCATCTTTCCCTTCATATAAAGGATTTCTCGATTGTAATTGTATAAGGGTGGCAACGGCCGGGCCAAGGATGATAACATACAGACCAAAAAGGTGTGTGTTGTTGAGTGCATTTTCAGTCATCATACACTTTTAAATGCATTTTGAGAGATGCACCAATGAACTTGATGGCATAACCATGGGATAAATATTGAACGCATGCCAGAGTGATATCTTGGCAGACAATGGATAAACTATGCAAAACCAAAATATGCTCCTCATGTGATATACATATATGATTTGTCTAGGACTCGTCATATGAAGGCCCCAATATGGCTTGAGAGTTCTGATCGTCGATCAGCTCATATATTTCGTGGCTAATGATCTAATAGTGAGAGGTGTCAAACCATCTCAATTTGAGACAAATTTTGGAATACATATACTCTCAAGGCTAATATATGCCTCTGTACATTACATTGGAGGAATTTAATGCACTACGACATACTTTCCAATCTGTCATCAGTCAAGTATGTACATCTTAGTTAACGCCCAATCATAAAAAATATCAAACCGCCTCAATTCGAGACATATTATGGGATACATATACTCCCAAGGCCATGATACGTCTCTCCACGTGATAGTACAGGAATTTGAAGCGGTACAGTATACTTTTTAATCCATCATCGATCACATACGTGCATTACTGCTAATGATTAGTCACAAGAGACTGATGCAGTATGGTGGTGTACTGTATGCAACTGGTAATATTGTGACTGACATTCTCACTTTTGAGTCAATCTATTCAAATGCAACAAGTAACTCTATTGCAAATATCACCTATGATCCCAACATTGATTCCAATGTTAGCAGTTACTGCTAGAGTTGAAATGTGCCAATGTGCAGGGCTATGCCTTTGGATGCAACCATGTATACTTAGGTTATCTTGGAAGGGTCACAGCTAGGGTTGATCAGTTTTGGGCACCGGGCCCTCCCTTTTGTTGACCAACTTTGTGATATCATCGGTTAGAAATTCACGTATTGCTTGGCACAAGAGCGTAATGAAATTCGAAAAAATTCACGTATTGCTTGGCACAAGAGCGTAATGAAATTCGAAGGCGCTGCAAATATCCCAAAGGATCATCAGTGTCTCGATTCACCAGTTGTTGGCAAGGCCATCACTGGTCATCTTAAATGTCCTAATTATCAGTGCGGGGTCTAAGCATATGCACATCCCACCATGGACCATCAATGCGATAGTGAGCCATAAGATCTTTATCATGAATGCCGACACCTCAGACACACAAATTAACGAGACAATGTATCATACGATAGGGGTACAAGTTACATATGGTATCCTCTTTATCACATACATGGATCCATCGAACTAGTTCCAATATTGCTACCGTGTATATGGATCAGATGACATGCTGTATTTTCTAGCCATTACATTCGACTTTAACAACATCACCGCCTGGTGAGTTCTGCTAAAGATAATGTATGTTTTTGTGTCAAACAAAATGTTATGCTTGGCCATGCGGGGA